ACATTAGAAAGGAAGGTGACACACTGCTCCAAAACAATTTGTCCATCAAGGCTTCAAGCCCCACAGGCAGTTTCACACCAATGAATCACTGCTCAGGGAACTTCTGATGCTTTCATCCTCGGGGAGCTAGTGATACAGCAAAAGCCCTACCAAGTAGTTAATCCATGTGAGGGAGAGAGACAGTCATTTGGATCACTAAAGACCCAGAAACGTCCTCAGTTATTACAAAAAGAAAAATGAAGACAAAGGAAAGAGCACAAACAAATCCATGGTGGCTTTATCACAGGTGATATTTTAGCCTGTGGTCTCCCTTCCTTCCATAAAATAGCCCCTGGGGCCATCCATGGCTGAACACTCACAACTAAACTGAATGCTGTGCGATTCAGACCCTCTGAAAGCCAAAGTTCAGTGAATACCCAGTAGAGTCTCTCTGATAATCCTCTGTCTAGGTGGGCTGTGGGGATCCCATGGGAATCCAGTTCTACTCTATTTTCTGTTACAGGTGGTTAGATCCTAGAGAGATGATGTTGGAGAGAATAGGGGAGATGTGGGAAAAGGGGACCCAAAGCTATGTGGGGGGGTGGGGGGAGAGAGGGAAAGGCAAGTGGGTTGGGGTGGACAGGTGGCAGAAGGTCACCTTTTCTCCAGTCCGCCAAAAAGTGGGTCAGTCTGAGCCAAATGTATGGAAGAATCCAAATTCTATCCTCCCACGTCCCCCCAAATTCTGATTCAAGTTTTCTCCAACAGTAGAAGGACTTTGGTCTCAGCTTAGTCATGGGGGAGACAGAGATCCTCGCTACAAAGTCCCGTAACCAGGGTCCTACTCAACACTTCGACGAACGTGTTGTGGCTACGCCAGTGCAGCATTTCAGTGGCACTTACAGGCTGGCCTGGTATTTCCTTTCAAGCGACTCCTGCTAAGCAAAAAGGCTTGATTATTTGTGATAGTCACAACAGAGAGATGTCAAGAAGCTGCTGCCTCCAACTGTATAGTAAATACTACGTTTTAAGTTACAGCAGTTCACTGGTCTATGCAGAAGAGGAGTGGGAGGTTGCATTGGTCAAATACAAAGTGCTCATGTCTGGAGAGTGAAACTCCACAGAAGCAAACCCAGCGGTGTTAAGGTTCCTGGGACCATGCAGCAGAAACTGTGCTGGGAACACTGCCATATGGGCAAGCAGGCAAGAGACGGCCCAGATACAGGCTGTTAGAACCGTAATGCAATGCTGCAAGATCACCACCGCCCTTCTTTTCTCATCACGCAGGAAATGAATCACAAGTGTAGAAAATTACCACTGAGAAGACTGTCAGTTCTAATCTTGATTTATTCAATGATTTCAGTGAAGAGCCTGGGCCTAAGATGCTGATTAAAAATTAGAAATACTACTTCTGTCTGAACAGGTAACCTCTGAGTAGAAGGTAAATTAAAACTAACACGTTCTGGAAGGGAATCTTCTGAGAACTCTCTCCAACAATATGAAAGGACACTACCTAGCACCCCCTCCCCAAAAAAACACAACCAACCAATGGATTAACTAGAGCTCAGCTTCCTACCTCTGTAAAACTGGTGCAAAGTGGATGCCCAACAGACAGAGGGAGGAAGGTTGAGTTTCACCTAGGAACACAGGATTGGACTGAACACTAACCAGAGTCTTGTACCTGTAAAATACTTGATTGAGTACCTGTAGAAATTAACCCTGGAGGGTAAAATCTTGTTGACTGCAGCTGGGTTTTTTTCCTCTGCAGAGACATCTCATCTGCTTACAAACCCATCGAAACTTTGTGAATCTAAAACACAACAGGCCTGTCTGAGAGGCACAGAAGCTGTGCCCCAATGCTCCAGAACCAACCCAGGGCCTTGCATAGCACTGCCATGGTCCTCTAGGACTTCTTCCTTTTGACTCTGGCAGGCCACAATTTTGCCACTTTCAAGCAGCAGAACAGAACTGAAGTTATACTGATAGGCTATGTTTGAGAATAAGGTCCCCAGAGCTATCACTCTACAGGAACTGCAACTTTATGCCATCTTTCATTCTCTATCTAGCCCATTCAGAGTCTTATACTGCCTCATCACCATAGTATCTATGCACCTTCTCAGCCTGCAGTAGGCAATGCAACAGTTCTCTCCCACATGCTCATTTTCTGCAGCTGTGTGGGGCAGAGCATTTGATTTTGGTAGGCTTGGTTTGGGATGCATTTGGTTTTGATGTGGACACACTTCTTTTTATTTATAATGGAGTGTACAGTTTGGAGAAGTGCACTGACAACTAGTGCAGAAGGTGGTGAGATGTGGATTACTCCTTTGTTCTCATTCTCTCTCATTCCAGACCTTTTGAAGGAGCTTGGGATGTTCTAGAGCAGGGCTGTCCAACTGGTGGCCTACACGTCCAACAGAGGTATGCAGCCCCTGATGGGTTAACTTGGGGCCCCAGGGCTCCCAGTCTTGGTACCACTCCCTGCCTCCATCCCACCTCCTTCCCCTAGCTTCTACTTCCTGCCCCTGCCCCTTGGGGTGGGCCAGTACTCCCTCCTTGTGCCAGGAGACTCCTCAGCTGCTGATCCAGGCAGTAGTGTACTCCAGCGTCTTAGAGTATTCATTTTGGGTCTCTCCAAATTCCACCCCTCGAGTATCAGACCTCTGCCCAGAAAGCCTACAGCTCAGGGTTTGGGGAGGGGACCCCAGCCACTCAGCAGTTAGAGAGGTATTTCTAAAGGTTTCAAATGCTTTTCAGAGCTTCTGGCTTGAAATAAAGAAATAAAGAGATGCACTAGAATAAGCGGGTAGGATATTGATCCTAGTATAAAAGATCAAGATAATGCTTTTTGAAGAATGATTAAAAAAAAAAAAAAAAAGCTTACACATTGCCCTGCAACAAACCTGGACCCTAACCCTACCCACCCTATCAATTCTACAGGAAAATAAAGCCATATCTAGCATGCAAATGCATTTGTGCTGGGCAGCAGCACTCTCAAACCCACCCTTGTGCAGGCTAATTGGCATGCAGGTGGGCTAATTAGCACAGCACTCAACAGGACTAACTAGCCCACCCACAGTGCTGCACCAATACTGCTACACTACTTCCAGTTCTGGAGGGAGCCTGTTCAGAGCAGCGCGGCATGGTGGAGAGTGTTACTGCCGTGCACAATAAGGTTGCACGACAGGCAAGGCTTACCTGGGGCCACACTGCCCGGCCTTCTATAAATGGAACGTGACCCTAGACAGCCTAGTCAAAGCTGGAGCTGGAAGCAGCCCCCCCGCCCCCCTTTTAAATTTTTTAAAGTCTAGGCAGGACATTTTTTCATATAATTTTTTTTATCTGGATAACCTCCTTCTAAATCCAGCCTAATTCCTTCACTTCAATGATCTCTTATTAAATATTCAAAAACCCCTCCAGGAAGCCCCAAAGTACCCTGTGGTTTTGGTCATATGACAACCTCCTGAAATGCTTGGTTCTGATAGAACAAGCTGTCCCATGTGTGCCTCTGACTGTGCTTAGGAGCACTCTAATAAACACCAGTAGGAGCCTTATTTTGCTATGTGTGCTTAAGTATTGTGCAAAAATTCACCACAGTGGAGAAGCGAAGAGCAAATGAAGATAGCTCTTTTCTGAAAAACACTTGTAAGAAAAGGAATCTGCATATTTTCCAGACAGCAGCAGAAATACTGCCTCACTGCTTAGCCTGACTCCAGGGTATTTTCTTGCTGATGACATGACCCGGACCTATTATCTGCTCATCTCATTCAGAAGAATGGATCAACAGTCCTTGTCATGTCCTTCTAGTGATCATGAACACTACAACAGTGTAGCTCGAAGCTTGTGCACTGGAATGATGCATGTGAACATATTATCAAAAACACTAGGGATGAACGGCTATTACAGACACCAGCTCAGCCTTCGCACCTTGAGGCAGAGCTTAAGTAGACATTTGAAAATAAACACCTGAGTAGACACGAAACCCTACATGAAACAGTCCTAAGTAAAGCCACATCCCTTACACCAGGGATGCTAACCTCCGGCCTACCAGCCAAATGGGGCCTACGGAGCCATGGGTACCCAGCTTGCAGGGCTCCTCACAGATGGGAAAATGTGTTGGTGAGGGAGCGCTAACAATACATATGGCCATCCTCCTCCACTGCCAACTTCCCCAAACCCAAGTCCTACATAGCAGGATGGGCCTGGCCCATGCCCCTTCCCCCACAGCCCCCATGGGGCTGGATCAAGTCCCCTCCCCCTGGGGGTCCACACTGGGGCTGGGAGACACCTTTCCATGCCCCCCACCCCCGCAGGGGCCAGGTTGGAGCTGGGCAGCCCCTTCTTCCCCTCCATGTGGCCAGATGGGGCTCTGCTGTGACGGCCCCATGCTGAATCAGGACCACCAGCTGTGTCTGGTTTGTGGCCCGCTTGGGCACTGCCCATTTGGCTCGCCAGCCAAAAAGGATGAGAATGACTGCTTTACACCCAACTTCCCCACAGGCTGCTCTAGACAGAACACCGAAACTATGCTTTGAGTGGTAAAACCTGAGGCTGGTGGGCAAGATCGTTTCACCCTGACCGATAGAATGGCACAAAACCAAAAGGAAAATGGAGCCTTACTACTTTATTGAACTTTGAAGGCTTTGACAGCCTGGGTGGAGTAGGCTGATGGGAGTCTCAGGCCTTTTGCATGTCACCAAGCCCACTGCAGAAAACTGAAACCCCCACTGCTCCCACGGATGGGGTCACCATGGTTGAAGACTGAGACAAAGAAGTAAGACTGGAAGGGAATGAATTTGTACTACTACTGTCCAAACTATGATGCCTGAGTATACTACACACTCCCTCCATCCACCCAGCTTTTGATCCACCCTTACAAACCGGAGCTAAAGTTGCTCAGGGACCCTTTTTTAAAAAAGAAAACAAAATGAAAACAACAGGAGCTGCTATTTGCCCAGAGAGACATCTGCACAATGCAGTCAGCTGGAGGGGGAATGGAGAATGACAAAGGAGATGCTTTCTACCTTGTCCTTGAGGAATCCATGTCCAGTACTAATTTTGCTAAATGCTTCCTCTGTTTTTGGATATTCGGGATTTCCACCTGTAGTGACAAAAGAGAAGATGAATCGAAGAACCAGAACAACAGGAGATAGACCCCACAGTAAGGTATTCTGACTGCCTGTCCTTTCCTAGCACCCTGTGATTCAGGCCTGGGTCAGGCAAATGCTGGGAAGACGTACAAGCAAAACACTGCTGCAAAATCCACTCACTGAAACACAAATACTAAACCACAGCCCCCACCCAAATACATAGGGAACATCTGTCAGCCCCCAGGGCAAAACAAATGACACCTCCTCAGTGCAAGGTATACAGAGCTTGGAGAAATGCAGGTCCAGGAGATTGCCCTATACAGCTTTTTCCTCATCGGGAAATCCCGCCATCTAAAAAAAAAAAGCATGGGAAAAAAACCCAGGTGGTGCACATGGCAGCAGCATGCACCTCCTGAAACCGGAGCCTGGCTGGCCAGAACCACACACTGGCTACCGGCCAGGATCTGCACACCTGATTGTCACCACTGCAGCCCTGGGAGGCCCCCAGGTAAGGCTGCTGTCACTATTTCAGCTGTCCTCTCTATCGTGTGGTAAGTGGAAGGTAAGAGAGCTAGTTAGCCATATTAGACTAAAGTCAGGGCAGAAGGTGGGGTAGATTTGCACCTTTACAGGCTAACTAAATCAGAAATGTATAGCATGAGCTTTTGTAAGCGTAGGGCTTACTTCATCAGAGGCTATTGAAGGGACTGCAGGAAGCAGAGCTGCTAAACAGAAAGCCATGATTAGAATACAAAGGTTAGGGATGGGAGAGGGGAAAAGAGGGCACTGCTGAGGGAGGCAAGCTGGGTAGGAGAGAGAAAAACAAAGCAGTTAACCCACTGAGAAAGTGGAAGCTAAACCATAATAATATCTTACCTCTAATTCAGAGGCAAATCACTGTAGTTTAACTTTACTTATGGTGTAAACCACTCACTGTGGTTTAACTTTACTTATTGTTTCACGTGTCCACTACAGGAATGGACACATGAAACAATTACAGAAGATTTGCTGATGCATTCTTATGAGTAGTTATTCCCCTTGTCACAAACCCTTCTGTCAGGGAGCTCCCCATCTCTCCTCATCATTCTCTGGATGGAAAAATGGCTCTCAAGGATCAAACTAAGGTAAGCCCTGGGACAACTTGCCCCTGCAAGCCTTAGTGTCAGGAGTCTCCCCCGTGGGTGCCATAAAATGAGAGGTCTACCCTTCTGAAGAAGAGGTAAGCCTGAGTTATCAATTGCCCTAAAATCATACTTTACCATAGGCAATCAAAACACAAATTCTCATCGTCTATCTTGTCTGATTACAATACAGTACTTCAGGGTATCCTGGCAACTCCTGGCAGTTTTTAGAGACCAGCCTGACTCCTGAATCTGCCAGCACTGCCAGCTGTGGACCAAGATGTAGGAATTTCCAAAGATCACCACTTCCCAACAGACACCTCCTACATGTCATCTAGCCAGCACCCCCACTCTCTCAACTTTACTGTACTATGTATTCTTTAGGGACTCTCAGAATCTGGAACTTCTCCCTGGAGGCACTTGCATACAGTTAATATTGCATACGGCTAATATTTCTTCCAGAAGGGTAACTGGGGGGTGGAGGGGAGGCACCAATTCTGAGCAACAACTTAGAGGGGATACCCGAACGGCATTCCCAAAAGACTTTGTCTTGGGAGGTTCAGCCCTGCACACAGTAGCAAATCTGGGGGGGGGGCCGCAGAGGAGCAAACAGGGCACCGGGGTGGACCCTGGGGAGCCTGCTCCACAGGGTTGCTGCAGAAAGAGTGCAAAGAGCCTGATCCTATGCTGAGACAGCAGGAGCTGCAGCAGTAGCAGCTGCTGCCAGAGTATGGAGACCCAAGGCAGGTAAAACTCTGCTCCCCACTCCCCTCCAGTCTTCAGTAGTCGGCATAATCCCCCAACCCCTCTCTACCAAGGAGAGAGCTGGTTATGCCTTTGATTTCTCCTTCCAAGTGGCTCGATACCCATACTATTTTGGGTGCCCATCCCAGCAATTTTGATGCCTCTGTTTCAATAGTCCTTCTTTCCAGGTGTCTGGGATCTGGGTTTCTCTGATAAATAGATCTTTCCCCTTGAAATGCAATTGGCCACTAACACGAAGCTTTGTTGCCCCTCTGTCCATTCAGTATGTATGCCATAGCTCTTCAGACAGACAAACAGCCATTAGCTAGAGAGGAGCATTTCTGTCATGTGACCTAGCTACAATCTTTCTATTACACTATGTCGAAAAATCACAAAGGTTGCTTTATACAGAATAGCATGATCCATACAGTGCTAAAAGCAATGAAAATGAACATAGCGTATCATTAGCTCTTGAAAGAGATCCAACACAAGGGTAGTTAAATCAAACTTGGGACAAGTACTTATGGACGATACACTCTGAATCCCCAAATAATTCCTGCTTTTAAGATGGGCTTGTGAGAGCCCTGTGCACACATTTTAAAGAAGTTTCATTCTTCATCTATCCACATCTACAAATTGCCTCCTTAATTAGCAAGTGTATGGGTACAAAAGCCTTGAAGTAGACTAGTAGGGCTCAACTGGGGTGCTGTGGACTGGTGCCACTACTGCTGCCACAACCGGGTAAAACGGCCCCTCAAGCCTTGCATAGATCTTGATGGTCCAGCTCTGCACAGGCCTCCCGGACACAGAGGTGCACTGGATAGTTCTACATCAGGGTGGGCAAAATGTGGCCCGGGGGCCAGATGAGGCCCACCAGGCCATTCTATGCGGCCCATGGAGCCCCTAAAAAATTTAGAAAATTAATATTAATCTGCCCTGGGCTGCCTATCATGTGGCCCTTGATGACTTGCCAAAACTCAGTAAGCACCCCTTGGCTCAGAATAATTGCCTGCCCCTGTTCTACATGGTGGTGGAAGCTGCAGTGCAGTTGCTGGAAAACCCACAGTAAACACACAGGTTGCCACACTGCCAGCAGGTGGAAATACCCTGCAAACTTCTGTTTCCAGGAGCACTGTGCAGAGCCAGACCGGAAAGGGCTTTGGCAGGAGAGGGAGCTCCTTCTAGCTGCTTCACAGCCAGGTTCCACACTCCCCATGCGGCTCTTTCCCCTGGCTGCAGAGATGGTGGCTGCACCCTCACTGAGAAGCACTAAGATAAGTACAACAGTGGTTCTCAACCAGGATGATGCTAAATTCAGAAAAGTGATGGAGGGTTACCCTGAATGGCTGAGAACTACTGAAGAAGAAAATTATTCCTGAAAATAATTCCTTTGGCCTGCACAGATTTTCCTCTTTGGGGAACTGGTTTAAAACCACCTGGCAAAAACCTCTCTTTCTGGTATAAACTGCAGCTCCCTGAAAGAGGTTTGCCGATATAGTACTGATGACACAGCTGTGTGTAAACAAGCCCTCTGGTTTTTTTCTCTTCATTAAAAGACCTAGACTTTGGAACTAAAGCCAAACACAGGATCCAGCCCTTCTCTCCGATCATTTTTACACTTGGGTAATGCAAAATATTCTAACTGTCTCTCTTTTATTTATGCTGGTGGAGAGGAGATCACACTTTGAGCTCAATGAGGTTTGCAAGACTGGAAAATGAAAAAAAAAATTCTGTGAAATTAAAAATGTGAGACTGAAAAAAACACACTTTGGATCCTGAAAATGCATTCGTACGTATGTAAACAACTTCCCCACAGCTTTGAATCAAATCTCAGCACCCACCTTCATCGTCCCAAGAAACACATGGCAAAAATGATTAGAAATAAAATTAAAACAATCACAATAGTGTCACTGCCCAAGCTAACTGACGCATAATGCAAATAAACACCACAAATTCAATTTGATTCTTTAATGTCACTGGTATTGTGTGTCCCCTTTAAGCATCACAGATTATCATCATTATGCATACTTTATATTCATATTCCTCTTATAAATATGTAATAAATGGTTAATAAGCAATAGATATTTTAATGAATTATTGCTGGTTATTGAAAAATCCAGCAGAACAGCAAGTTGCTTGCAGGACTCTAGCAATATCTTCTACTGATGTGTTTATAACCATCTGCAACAAGTGCTTTGGTTAAGGCAGTTGTTCATTCTCTATTAACTCTTCATGAACTATTTACAAATGGGACCTTAATATATAGTGTGACTACTTAATAATTATTCATAGAGTACTTGAAAGCACAATGGGATAAACATAAAGGCTGGTGAACAGCAGGGGGAAAACAGCCTGGGAGAAACACATATGCACAATGACAGGTATTTATTATTTATTATAGTAGGAAGTGTCAAAATCTCATCTCCCATCTTCAAGTCTGAACACTGGGCACCCACCCACTTGTGAGCACATAACCTGGGGGATACATGGAGACTCTCAACACCTGGTCACAGGAATCTAAACATGGGCTGTGATGTCCCGAGGGCCTGTTTCCAGTGGTGTAGGAGGGTTGGATCATAAATTCTATGTTGACAACTCTCTGGTGAAAGTTTGGAGGTTGATCTGAAAGGAACTGTTTGTCTGCATGCAACTCACAACCCCAGGTGTCACTGGCAGTAACTTCATCATGGCAAGTAGGTCTAACTGACCTCATTTTTTAATAGAGAAACCAAAGGCCAACTGGCCTAGAAAAGATCTCTCCTTCTGCACTTAGGGAGGGTGTGTCAAGTGGTGGGCAGTGCTGAGTGTGTGCACCTCTGTGAATAAAGGAATAGTCCCACGAGCATAAGCTTAGACAGGGCCTGGGCCTGCAAATTCACACTCTCATTTGTAAGAATATAGAAAAATCAGGCTTAAAGCAGGGCTTTGGTCACCAGCACTACCCATACCCCCTTTTCCAGCAATACATCCACTGAACTATCTGCAGGCCTCAGATTCTGCAAATTCAATAGAGGAAGGGACAGTGCAAGCCCTTCCCAGCTTTGTCTTCAGTCAGACATTCTCCGTGATCCTGGATAGAGCTATTTCAAGCTCTAGAGGAGCATCTGGTGCAGACAATGGGGAAGAGGAATTCTGAGGCTGAGCACGCAACTTACGGTTCATGCATGCTACCTCCCAATCACTTTTTAAAGGAATTCCCATGTTTCTCTCACACTTTTGACTTTCCCCCAACCAAGCCTTAAAAAGAACCCAACACAGAAGTGGCCTTTGGCTGAAAGTGAGCCAGTACATCCTACAGAGCTCATCAAAATTGCTCCCCCACATTGACCAGCGCAATCTCTTAGGTGCCGCATGCTAGCCCCCAGCTTCCCTCCCAGTGCCCAGATCCCTCTTACCTCTGCTAGTACAAACAGAGGCTCAATCACATCCCTTTCTACTTGCAGCTCAAAATTGATAAGCTCTTGGGCTAATTTATCCTCAGCCTCTCCACATAATTTGAGCATCTTCCTGCAAAAGAAGAAAAACATGTAATGCACTGCACAGAAGCTCAGCAGCAAAGACAACAATGACCCTTCTGCTCACAAAGCCCAGGCCACTAGGCTGGGATTCAATGCAAGTATGTTCAGAAAGCATTGGCTACACAAACACATTCTTACTTGAAAAGGAAGGCTGCAGGGGGAGAAGGCAGGGCGAAAACAAGATCTTATGATCAAGTGTGTGGTCTCAGAAAGTGTGTGCTGCACACAGGTAAGGGCTGGGTATGAAGGGCAACAATACCCACTGCAGGCACAACTCACATTCTTCTGTGGAGATACCCAAGGGTCATCCTGAGGGCACCTCTCCTTTAGGGCTCCCTGCAGCTGGTGAGGGCTAGTAGTAGTGGAGGACAAGCTATAATATAGGGTTTGGGGAACTAGAAGGCAGCAACTCCATCCACTCTATGTCTTCTCCAGGTGCATTGTACTGAGAGACAAGGGCATGGCATGATGTGTCTGTTGGCAGGTGGAATGGCTGGGCTCTACACCCTCACACAGGATAGAAAGGATGCTGTTGAGAGGGACAGCAGGAAGGTATTGGCCAAGCAGGTTTCTGGTTGCTGATCTCCCAAATGCAGGGAATCATAGCTTAGGACAGTGGTGGCCAACCTGTGGCACATGTGCCACAAGTGGCCTGGGCAGCCACTGTGTGGCACATGGCAGATCAGGGTGGGGACAGGTAGTACAGTGGAACGTAGGGCAGGAAGCAGAAAGCAGAGCAGCACAGTGATGGGAGGAGAAAGCAGAGCAGCAGATCAAACAGGGGGAGAGGACTGGAGTGGCACTCGGGGAAGATGCAGAATTAATTTGTGATTTGCCTACCAAAAAGGGTGGCCCCTGCTGGCTTTGGCCATGGGCTGTGCCCATTTGCCCCACCCCACATCAATAGGGGGATGGCCTCCTAAGACCACTTTGCGGAAGGAGCAAGCTGTGACCAGAGGAGTATGCTGACACAGCCTGTGGGAATGCTATTCCCCACTGAGCCCCAAACCACCCTAAGGCAGATAGAAGAAACAAGGGCAACCTGGAATAAGAGCCTAGGTAGTCATTTTGCCTTGCTGGTATTTCATATCTACAAGGAACAGCAATGGCACAAGGTGCATGGCAGAGGAGAGTCAGGCCTCCTAGGCCTCTGGAGAGATGAGCCTCCTTAGTGTAGCTTACCCAAGCAGGGAGTCGTCCCCTAGAATGGCAGAGCCCTCCATTAAGCACTGGGCCAGTGTCGTCAAAGGTAACTTTTTCTGCAAAGGAAGCACACAGCACACAGATGATTGGCAAAATTCATGCCAGAGGGTAGGAAGAGGACTCTGACATGGCATATGCAGAGCAATCCTGGCTACGGGCCTAGACAAGATGGTACAAACAGCTCTTCAAAGATAGTTGCACACAAAAGGTGCAATTACCTCTATATGACAGGGAAACAAATAACTACCTATTAAGCAGATAACTTGTGATACGATACAGGCAAATGTCATTGACACAGGTGTAGTTTTATCCTTGATTCTATCAGGGTTAATTCTACTCTGGTTTTGGCGAAGTTGTAGGGGTTTATGCTATGTCTTCTTTTTTACACCAATGTAAGAGTTGATTATGTTGTTGTAAACCTGTCATCTGTCCAGACCTGAGCTAGCTGGCATACTAGCTAATTAGTTCAAACAGGCAACTGTTCATAGCTTACAGGGTAGATAACTCAGGACAGATAGCAAAAAAGGTTAAATAAACCAAAGCCCGAGGCCAACCCCCCCAAGCTCTGGGAAGCAGCCAGATCTAAGGTTCTCAGCTCAAGCTGACTGCCATTAAACACCACATATGGGAGTATGAATGCTGCATAGAGGTTTTATTTAGCACCTGAATCTAAATTACAACCCCAATCTCTGTAGGGAGTGTGGGTGGGAACAGCCATGCTACCCACTGGGCAGAGGTAAACCCATGTAAGGAGAAAAGATCTCGGTGGGCACAGGATTCCCAGTCCTCCTCCCTGACCAATACAGGTATAAATTAAGCAATTTGGTAGGGAGCAGGAAAGTTAGAACAGGCCAGCCCCTATACATTTTGGCAGCAGAAGATCTACTCATGGCATTTCGCTTCTGCTTCATTCTGCATTATTCCTTCCACCCCACTGGGCTTATAGCCATAATGCTGACAAAAAGAAAGAAAAGGTGGATTCAATCCGAAATCATGCTCTATAGCGCAGCACACCTCTCACAGTTTTATTTATGTGCACATTTGTCCTGCTCCCAACAGACTAGTGCACACACACACAGAACTACATGCAATTAGGAAAAAAGAAAAACAACATTTCAATTTTCTGCAGACTCCCCGTGATGCAAAAGACAGCTCACTTGGGCTAAGGAAAAAAAAGCCCCAATCCAGACACATCTTGTGTTTAACATTTGGCTGCTTGCAGCTGGAAGTCTTAAACGAGCCCCTTACCGAGCGCTTGTCGGCATCCACCCCTTGCTGGCCCTGCAGACATGCTGTCAGCTTCTTGTGAGTGCTGTGGGAAACCTGCTTCACCAGCTCCAAACGCTTTTCCACCTGCAGATGGAAACAATTGGCACCATATCAAAAGCA